ACAAGTCTTCAAGTTGCCAAGTTTGGGGACCCCTGATTTAAGCAGTGTCACGAGGGACTCTCACCGTGGTTCTTCACAAAGGATAGTTCCTTGCCAGCATTCCTACCTGAAGCACACACCTGGGCAGGTTCCACCAGAGAAACCCCGCCCCTCTGACAATATAGTACATGCATGAAACACACGAGGACGCACCGTAAACATGAAGATTCCTGCTAACTAGGGCTGTTTCTTTCCGAGAGCCTTCCTAGCAAAATGCCAGGGATTCGCTTTGCATTATCTACAGGCACCGCGCGCAAGGCAAGAACCGCATCCATTCCAGAGGCAGCAGGAAAAACAAGTTACTCCCAGTGAGGTTATGGGGAACAGCCGAACCTCCTGAAGGGTTTCAGGGAAATATAATCGCATTTCTGAAGCGAATCAGAATTCATCTCCTGATAGCAGATGGGAAGGGGAACCTCATTTCCCACTGAGAAAAATCAAAAGCAGCAAGACGACTGAAATGGAAGGTCCCCTCGATCCCCACAAATGGATGAATGGCTACAGAAACTGACAGGTGTTAGCAGAGATGGCTCAAACTTGGTTGCAGGAAATAGGACTTCAGCAACAGAGTGGTCAATGTCTGGAATCCTCTACCTGACTCTGTGGTTTCTTCCCCAAACCCCAAAAACTTTCACCTTAGACTGTCTACTATTGACCTCACCCCTTTCCTAAGAGGTCTGTAAGGGCGTGCATAAGTGCAACAACGTGCCTACCGTCCCTGTCCTATTGTTTCTTTTTATTTTTCTTATATGTACCCATTTCATGTATTCATAACTACGTACATACTTATACCTATTATCTTGTAAGCGATTGACAAATCAAATAAACAAATAAATAAATAAATAAATAAATAAAAGAAAAAAAGACACACAAATATATTCATTTCTACTTGGAAACCATTTCTGGACTTTGTGCTTGAGGTGGAAAAAGATGAAACTTTGATTTTGGGTTTTACCGATTAGACAGATTCGTCGTTATAGAAATGGCTAATTTCTATTGTCATAAAAAAGTAAAAAATTGAGTTAGATGTTAAATCCCTTATTTTACTGCACCAAAGAAGTCAGAAGTCAATGCCTTTTTTGTCTTTCTTTTTCCCTTCCTTTCCCCCACTACCCACTTCCCCTTTTCCTTCCCTAATTTCCCTAATATTTGCTTTTGTTTAGTTTAGTTTACTTTATTGTCACTGCATCTCATACAACAAAATCAAACACCATCTTCAGTGTGCATCATGACCATGAAAATAAACACAAACACACCTCCTTCACACTCCACACATTGAACCTTTTCCACACATTGAACCCCCGACACTGCACCAATACTGCAGAATTCAGAAGAGCTACTGACCTGGGATAGAAGCTGTTTTCAGTCTATTTGTCCTTGTTTTTATTATTATCCTGTACCGTCTGTCAGTTGGTAATAGTTTTAAAAAAAACAGGGTGCCCAGGATGAGATGGATCTTTGAGAATGTTTTGAACTTTCTTAAGGCGGTGAGAGCTATGAAGCTCTTCCAAAGAGGGGAGAGGGCAACCAGTGATCCTCTGGGCAATGACGTTCACCCTCTGGAGTGCTGCCCTATCTGCCACTGTGCAATTGGCAAACCAGGCACAGGTGGAGTAAGTTAAGATACTCTCTATGGTGCAGCGGTAGAAGCTCACCAGCAGTTTCTCATTCAGTTTGTATTCTTTTTGTAAGTCATATTATAAATTAATAAAACGGTAAAAGTGAGACAAAAATCAAAAGCAGCATTTTGTTCGACTGGTGGGGGACGTGTGTGCTTACCGGGCCCTGGAGGCTCCCGTCCTCTCGATCAATGCTCCCTCTGGACAGCCTCACGTCGGGTTTCTGAAGCAAGAGAAAAGAAACGTGGTTTTGGATCAGGGGGTTTCAAGAGAGCAGGGCCAGCCGGAGAGCAGAGGAATTAGAACCGTGAGCAGAAGCAAAGGAAATGCTGCTAAGGGGGAGGAAGGGTGGGGAGGAGGAGGCTTTGAGTAAGAGAAATGTTATTACATTCCCCTTCTTTCTATCCCAATGCGTTTCCCAGACACACACACACACACACACACACACACACACACACCAACCGGCTTTTGCAAAACGCAGCCACCGAACCTTCTCAAGGCTTCCACCCCATCAAAAACAAAAAAACCAACCACCACCTTTCTATCTACCCACTGTTTGCTTGCACATAATAAAGGCTTTGAGATAAATATTGAGAGTACCATTTCCCCAAGACAACATTGGAAAACCTGCATTTTAAGTTCTCTCAGGAGGAGGAAGAGCAGCAGCAGCAGGAGCAGCTCCGCACAGCTGCCGCTTCTTCCTAGCAGCAGAAGTTTCAACCACAGGATGAGAAACGCAGCGCATTAATTCCCGTTTCCTGCTTGAGGAAAGGCTTAAATGTACTTGGCTCCGTTTGGCTTCCCAAACGGGGCCAATTGCTCAGGCTCTCTCAAAGCACAGAGAGCGGGAACGTGAGGAGGAAGGCTGTCTGCGCCCAACACTGCCCTGTGTTAGGAGAGGAGGAGGAAGGAAGGGAGGGAGGGAGGGAGTGAAGTCTCGTTATTAACTCTTTGGAGAAGACAAGAGAGGGACAGTCTTCTTGGAACTTCAACATTGAAAAAAGAAGGGTTGTGTTCATGAGTACACCCTGAAGTCTTAGGGGCCATACCCATCTTCTGATACTGAATAGAATAATATGCAAAACAAAACTTTAAAAAAAAACCTTTTCCAAACCAAGAAAAGTAAAGAGTTGTGATAGTTGATTCTATCTATCTGTCTGTCACCAACATTTCTCTCTATGTATATAATAGATCTATCTATCTATCTATCTATCTATCTATCTATCTATCTATCTATCTA